CCCCCCCCCCCCCCCCCCGCCCCGGTCCGGTCCTGTAAAGAACTTCATTTTCTGACTTCATTGAGTTTAAGATAAGTGTTGGAAAGTGAAAAGTACGGTTAAAATTTGTTTAGAAGATTGAAATATTGTGAGCCACATATTCAATTTTTTAAATGGATATGTGAAGTTCTCTATGGGGTGGGAGAGTATTACTGTATTACTGATTAACCAAAAACTTTCATATGTTGTATGAGTTAAGCGTGGATGAGTAGTAATTGTGATAAAAATTATGATCTTAAAGTTGTAAGTGAACCTCTCCGCACGGGAGATCTGTTTATTTATTGTACTCATTGCATGCTTTATGTTTAGATTAATTCTTAATATCTGCATCTACCGTGGTTCTGAATATTTAGATATCACACAATCCATAAGGAAGTCTACAAATGGTTTGACATAAGTTTTGACAAGTTCGGGCGAACATCCACTCCTGAACAAACTAAGGTTTGTCAGACCATTTTCAAGAAACTATTGGAGAAAAACTGGCTTAGCGAGAATACAATGCAGCAGGTATGGACTTTTTTTTATTACTAATAAGTTCTTTTCACTTTTTTGGCTCCAAATTTAACTACTTGTATATCTATTTGTTCTTATATCTTATTCACTTGCTCAGCAATTCTCCATCTTATTTGGCAGTTCCAACAATCTATTTAATGTGAATGCAGCTCTACTGTGATACATGTAAAAGGTTTTTAGCTGACCGTCTTGTAGAGGGAACATGTCCAACACCTGATTGTAACTATAATTCTGCACGTGGGGATCAATGTGAAAAGTGTGGGAAGCTGTTAAATCCTACAGAATTAAAGGAGCCAAGATGCAAGGTGCTGTTTTGTGGGTTCTTTTATTCAATATATTTCTATATTTTCTCTCTGCTGTACCTCATTGAGACCTGCTCAATGCTTACCTACAGTGATATTGTTGCAATTTTCAAAATACAAGCAAAAATTCTTCTTACTCCTAAGGAAATACCTAAGTAATATGCTGGAAAGATTGCTACTTCGCAATGTGCGTGTTTTGTTTTTTTTATTTTTACTCTTTATTTATATATATAGGGTTACCAAGTGGTTTCCCTGCATTTGGAAGAAGAGTTATTGATCACCAAATCACTTGTTTTCGCCAACTCCAATTGTGAAACCCCTATAATTCCTACCACTGAAACCAAACCCCCAGTGCACCTCATCATAACCCTTCTTAGCACTCTCAATTTGACCATTGAAATTGCCTCCAATGATCAATTTCTCTGATTGCAGAATATCCCCAAACATCCCATCTAAGTCCTCCCAAAACTCCCTTTTAACTTTCTCGTTCAGGACAGCTTGGGTGCATAACACTTATGGCGTTGATACTACACCCACCAACACATTTTTGATCACTATAAGTCGATCACTAACCCTCCACATCTCAACCACAAGCTCCTGAAGATCCTGATCAACCAAAATGCCAACCCCATTCTTGGTCCTCAAAGCGCCGGAGTACCACAACGACACAACTTGATCTGTCCCTATAATGCGCTTTGGCACAGTGGTACCCACCCATCTAGTCTCCTTGATGCACACGACATGATTCTTCCCCCTTTTTTAAGGACCTGTACTCTAGTCTTCACCATCAAGGACCACATGTTCCACGACCCAAACCTGAAGCTAGACGGACATTCCACTAACCCTCATCACCTCCCTGTCGCCCAATCAAGCAAATGACCTTACGTCACCATCACTAACCAAAGCCACCCCACCTGCTCACACCTCACCACAAACGGGAACACAAGAGAACCACCTAGTTCTATCTAAAACTACAGTTGGAAACACAAAAGAACACCGCCTGTGACCAAAACACAGGATAGAGACAACACCAAGCACCAACAGAGAAAGGGCAAGTAAAATAGAAGACATCAATAACTACTAACACTAACTAAGGAACACGCAATAAAAACAATAAGGTCCAAGAAGACATCACAAATACCCTCATCAATAATAAAGTGTGGTATGAGACAAATTCATAATTAACATTCCAAGATTTGACCAACCACGGTCCACGGATAAGAAATACAGAAAATTAAAGAGCCAAACTAAGAGTTTCAATAGCTAAAGATTCGATAACAAACATATGCACGACAAAAGTACTGAAGAGACTTCAAAATTGTAACCATCAAATTGACCTATCAAACTTAGATTCATAGATTTTTTTTATCAAGCATGAATCGAAATAAATTTGTGTGGGCATATGAATCAGACTTACAATGTCAGGTTTGGGATTCAGATGGAACCCATGATTCCGTGAAGCACCGACTTAGTAATTCGAATTCAGAATCCGATATTAGCAAACCCAAATTTCTACGTCCTGTTTGAGATAAGATACACAAAGACATAATTCTTACGGGATATGTGAAGACATGAGAAAAGAAGATTTTTTAACTAAGGCACTAAGTGGGACTCATATTGATGATATTGTAACTAGTTGGGTATGATAAAATTCTTCCTTGTTGAAGATAGGAAGATTAGGAAAACTTCTATTATTATTAATATATCTTTGTATTACTCCATTGAATATAACAAAAGATTCTCTATCCTTGAGTTTAGTTACATATATCACTATTTATATGTAATAAAACATAAAAATGGTGGGGTCAGTTGGCCCTACTCAATGTCACATTCAACTAAAGGCATTGCTGAGTTTTTATTGCTACCTTTTTTGTCTAAGAAGCATTAATTTGATTACCAAAAAAGTATTTTCTTTTACTTTCTTGTTTGTATGTTGAACCTTTCCAACAAGAATGAATCAATGATATTCATTGAATATTTCTTTATTTGCATTTATCAGGTCTGCCATACTGCCCCATGCATCCGTGATACGGACCACTTGTTCCTGGAGCTCCCTCTGCTAAATGATAAACTAGAGAGCTATGTAAAAAACATGTCACTCGCTGGTGGGTGGAGTCAAAATGCTATTCAAACAACACATGCATGGCTTAGAGAAGGATTGAAGCCAAGGTGTATCACTAGAGATTTGAAATGGGGGGTTCCAGTTCCACTAGAGAAGTACAAAGACAAGGTTAGCATAAAAGTCTTGGGTGCTTAAAATGTAGGGCTCAAATAAGTAGGTGTGCTTAACTTTACTACCTCGGAGTACAATTTTTTTCTCTTGCTTTATGTGTGTGTGTGTATATGTATGTATGTATGTATGTATGTATGTATGTATGTAAGTATGTAAGTATGTGCATATATATATGTGTGTGTGTGTGTGTGTGTATATATATGCACACACATATGTAAGTATAAATTTGAGTGTGTGTGTGTTTATGTGTATGAGGCCTCTCAGTTTGGTACTCCACAATCAGGAGCTCTTCGATTGTTAAAGAGGCATGTACTACGACCATATAATCTTTTTTGAGTTGTGGATTAGGAACATGTTTCAGACTTTTTTTTATAAATTTTTTTCTTCTAGGTTTTCTATGTATGGTTTGATGCACCAATTGGCTATGTATCAATCACTTCATGCTACACCGCTGAATGGGAGAAATGGTGGAAGAATCCTGAAAATGTGGAGTTGTATCAATTTATGGGCAAGGACAATGTGCCTTTTCATACTGTGAGTATTTATGTTTGTTGAAACAATTTTGTTATTTTTTGTTGTTTAATTATGATAAGTTTTGTGCCTAATATAGAGTGGTTTCATTTTTAAGTCTAATTTCAAAGTGTCTCATACTCTAGTTTTATGCTTTTTTTTAAAATATGTTTTGAATATGTAGAAAAGGTAAAAGAAAACGTATTGACGGGGATGAATAGGGGAGGAAGTGAACGAAAAGGTTTTGGAAATTTGGTCTTTGTAAACATACCATACTATCAGTCCAGTCAAAACAAATCTATCATCCATATATATTACCTAATGGTTGACATGGGCAGGTTCCGGAACCATGGGTGTCATATGCCACTGCAATTTTTCATATGATGTTTCAAAATCGGTATGGTATTGTAAAAATTGGGGTTTGCAGGATCTTATCACCAATATTACGGGATTAAGGCAGCCTCTATGACTTATTCGCTTCATAAGAATTTGTTTCAGTGTGTTGTCATTCGCACTTCTATTACAAAATTGCTGGCTTTGCGACCTCAGTTGTTGTTGAGTGTGTTGCTTCTGGGGAAGACATTGCGTGTTGGGATTTAGTGTAATTGGATTTACTTAGATCTGCCAAAAATTTGAATAGACATCGTTAACGTCTTAACAAGTTAGGAGGTGTGGATTCTTTAGCGGGGTCCATGAGTGGCAGCCCGGTGGCGGATTCCAAGGGGTAGAGGCCCTGACTAGGGAAAATTTTATTTCGGACATTGTTTCTTAAGAAAATCCTTTGGATTTTTGTAAATAGGGTAAAAAGTAAGGAACATTCGGATGTATAAATTATCCATTCAAATCTAGCATAACCACAAGCGCCCTTTGTGAAAAGGTACAAAACATTCGAATGTTTAGGATCAAACATTCAAATGTTCTCGTACAGATGTGACGGTTCGCGCAAAACTGCAGGAGCAACGATTTGCATGTAAACTGCTACAGTACTACATACATTAGAATGTTTTGTTCAAGCATTCTAATGTTTCGCGACGGGTTGTTTACTTGTTTTGTTTCATCAATAGACGGGTTTGATCAGTTTTTTGCTCTATATATGTAAACTCCCACAGTATGTTTCAGGATACAGAATTACACATGCTCATTCAAGTCTTTAGATACGTCTTATTCTGAAAGCATGTTTCACGCAATTCATCAAGTCTATCAAGTCTTCTTCACGTTCATCTATATTCTTGCTGACACTGCAAAGCAGCGTTTTCTCCCCTCCTAATTTTCCAACACATTGGGGTAGCTTTGCACGTAGAAGGTCTTTCTTTAGTAGGACAATAGCAGAGTGCCACAGAGAATTTCTCTCTTATTAGTAAGAATTGATTGTGGTCGCTCAAGAGCTCATCGTTGGAGTCTATGTTGCACGGAAACTCCATATAGGCTGCCGTACCCGTTTCGGACACCTTGGACACGCCGACACGCCACGGACACGTCTCGGAAACTCCACGTGGCGTTTCTGTAATTTTAATTTTTAAAAATAGAAAAAAACGCCAAGGAAACGGCTGGGACACGCGTGTCTCTTTTGGGAAACGGCAGGGACACCTCTTTTAAAAAAATGGGGTTCTTTGTATAAATTTTAAAAGTGTAGGAACTGACTCAAATTATAAAAAGTATTATCTGGCCCTAAATCTTCATCGCTCCTCTATGTTACGCGGCTATCATATTCATCGACAATAGACAGCGGCCCTCGAAGAAGCTTTACGCAGCTGGTTGGCCAACTACTCGCCGACAAAGGGCGCGACATCAGGTGAAGTGTTCTCTCCAAATAAGCTTCTCGCCGACAAAGGGAGAAGCTTACGCCACTAGTCAGTGACTTCTGGATTTTATGTTATGTATTTTGAACTTATTTATGCTTTAATATGTTTTGTAATGACTAAATTATGCTATCTATTTTGAACATATACTTTAATATGTTTTGTAATGACTAAATTATGATGTCTTGTGAACTTATACTTTAATATGTTTTGTAATGACTAAAATATGTTATGTATTGTGAATTTGTTTACATAATTTTATTTATATATATATAATTTTTATATATAAATTTGGCGTTTCCCCGGCGTTTCGTCTCTTCATTTTTTCAAAATAGCCGTTTCGGCGTGTCCGTTTCGTTTCGTCTCCGTCCCCGTTTCCGTTTCANCTTTAATATGTTTTGTAATGACTAAATTATGATATGTCTTGTGAACTTATACTTTAATATGTTTTGTAATGACTAAAATATGTTATGTATTGTGAATTTGTTTACATAATTTTATTTATATATATATAATTTTTATATATAAATTTGGCGTTTCCCCGGCGTTTCGTCTCTTCATTTTTTCAAAATAGCCGTTTCGGCGTGTCCGTTTCGTTTCGTCTCCGTCCCCGTTTCCGTTTCAATGCTACATAGGTTGGAGTCATTATTTATTGGAGGCATTGCAGTCTTAAATGTCAAAGCTAAAAGGATTTCAAACCAGAACATCCATTGGAAACCAACAACTAAAATACCAATTTGGCCACTTATTGGAAATACCAACGAGGTTTAATTTCTGTGCTGCAAGTCCTGCTACCTAGTCATGGGTGCGCCACTGGCACGTGTTCCATGTGGTTGCATTTGTAAAAATATTTCTAGGACCTTTGTGCTTGGTGTATAGGGTTTTTTGAGAAATAATTAAAGATACTTTCATTTTTGTAGTTGTATTATAAATGCTATTGTAGATGACGGATTCTTTAGGGGATCCAAAACAGTGTAAAGGGGAACTTTTGTAGACAGAGGGGATAGAATATATCTGGTCTTTCATGAATGAGCTTACCACTACTAACTTTGTTATTGTAGTCCAACTTTCCTCTTGTGAAGTACTACATGATTGAATAATTGTATATCCTTTATCTTTGTTGGATAAGATCAAACAGATGTTCTACTGCAGTATGTAACTTTGCATTGACTAATTAATAAATATTTTCCAGGTTATTTTCCCGTCTACACTTCTTGGAACCGGTGAAAACTGGACTTTTATGAAAACTATCAGTGTCACAGAATATTTGAACTATGAAGCAGGTTAGCAAAATATCTGTTTGCAAGAAGGTTGATATTTTTCCGGTAGCCAAGATATTAAATATGTACCTAGGAGTGCTGTAGTTATAATTTGCTTGTTATTTATTATCTTCTCTGACTTGATTTCTACTGTTCCTTTCCATGTGCTATCATATGTAGGGAAGTTCTCAAAAAGTAAAGGAGTAGGAGTCTTTGGAAATGATGTAAAGGATACAACTATTCCTGTTGAAGTATGGAGATACTACTTGCTAGCGAACCGGCCAGAGGTAAGAGTTTGTGCTTATGCTATCTTGTTGCTATGTACAAATCTTTCTCTCGGTTAGTGAGAGTCTGTCCCTATGCGTCTATGTGCGTAAATAGATTGTGAAAACGAGGCACTCAATCACTAGTATCTATAATGTATACTGTATAGTCTATCATTTTTTTTCTGTGTTGCCTAAACCTTGTGGGTACTGCCTTGTGGGACAGTATTACTCTGTAGTTGAAACCAAATTTGTTATCTCAATTGTTTCCTCTCCATTCAATAAGCCTCCCATAATTTCAAAGTACGAGTGTGTTAGAGTATATAAAAACTATTCTTGGGCCACAATCATAAACTTGAGCTTTTGGTTGAATCGGCTCCTTGACATGGTGTCCGAGCCTTTATGACCAAGAGGTCACGAGTTCGAAACTCACCGCCACCCAGTTTTTAAAAAATTAAGGTTTCACGTGCAAGGCTCAAAGCAGTCACGCCTGCACGTGAGGGGGAGTGTTAGAGTATATAAAAACTATTCTTGGGCCACAATCATAAGCTTGAGCTTTTGGTTGAATTGGTTCCTTGACAGAGTGTATGACTCATGAGCTTAACTCCATGGAAGTTTGAACAGTCATGAACATCACTTTTACTGTTGTGCAGAGGAATTAGAGACAAAGTACCTTTTCTCCATTCTGTCGGCATCTCACTCACTGAAAATCTCATTAAAGGGCATTGCCAACCCTTCAACACCTGTACTTTGCCACACCTCCTAACCTCACTGGGCATGTCACCTGGTCTTTCAAATTCATCTTTTTGAGGGACTCTCTAACTTCATTTCTTTGGATCCAATGTATGAACTCTCGGTTCACCTCTAACTTCATGTTTTTCATCTGACATATTCCCCTCCTCTTCCGGAGTTAATGACCACCAAACTCTTGAGTGTTATTCTCCTTCAATAGCTTTCCAAACTACGTCTTCCATTTTTCCTTTATTTAGGTCAACATCCTTGATGCATCTTACCATGCCAACAATCAACATCTTCTCTTTCATTCTCTCAAGCAGGCAATCATATATATATATATATATATATCCTTCTCACTGTGTTTTGTATCCACTATGCAATTTATTATGCAATGTTTTATACAGCACTAGTCTTGCCTTTATAAATTGAACAAGCACTGCTAGAAAATAGCATTTGTCAAGCACCAGAAAAAGTTCAATCTTTCCAGAAAAAAACGTGTCGGCTCTAATACCATTTCAAAAGTTATTCTTATCATTCAATTTTACAAGGGGAAAAATACATAAAACTTCTACAACTAAGTACAATTACTAACACTACGTGCACTTACTATTGACAAGTTTAACTTCTTTTAGGTATCAGACACATTATTTACGTGGACAGACCTGCAGGCGAAGTTAAACAGCGAATTACTAAGCAACCTTGGGAACTTCATCAATCGTGTTTTGAGTTTTATTGCAAAAGATTCTGGCAAGTAATCCACCATTTATTTTGGTTTGGTTAAACTTCATGGGATGTATGCTATGTTCTTTTTGTCACGGTTTTATGCTTTTTGTGCTTTATTTAGTAAGTTCTCTCTTTTTTCCTATTATCAAAGTTTTCATTATCTTTTATATTAGCTTCTTCCACAAGCTGAAGTATCTTATGTACTAGTATTTCTTAGTTCCTTTGTTGGGTGCAAAGGTTGTTTTTGTGTATTTTGGAACCCGTCATTCTGTTCACTTTAGGTTGTGCTAAATCTTACCTAGTGGAGTCGTTGACTAGTTTCACTTCCCTCATACTCCTGATACCTGAGGAGCTGGAATATTTCTTTAAAGTTTATCATGCCTTCACTGAAAATGTTTGGTACAGCTTCTGGATATGGTTCCATAATTCCTGATTCTGAAGGTGCTGAATCTCATCCCTTGAGTAATACTTTGGGAGTGAAGGCTGGAAACTACGTGGAACAATATATTGAGGCCATGGAAAAGGTGATTGACCAGGCATTAGAGTTTACCCATATTGTTTCTTTTCTGAGTAATGCAATATATATTTAATGATATCAGGTAAAACTGAAGCAAGGCTTGAAGATTGCCATGTCTCTTTCTGGTGAAGGAAATGCTTACCTGCAAGTAAATTTCTTAACAAATTTTTTCTATTTTTTTTATAGTGAACTAGTGATTTTTTTCTTGTCTTCTTATGCATTCTCTTATTTTGTTCCTGCATGTGCGTGAATGTTTATTTTTATAGGATTTTGGAAACGAAGAGACTTTATTTAAATGATATTATTATCACTGTATTATTTTATCTTCATCATCATCACCATCATACTCATTATAATGGCATTTTCATTGCTATGCTGCTGTGTGATGATGCCTCTCCTTTTATGATTCTTCCAGGAGAGTCAATTTTGGAAGCTTTACAAGGAAGATAGGCCTTCATGCTCCATAGTTATGAGAACTGCTGCTGGTTTAGTGTATCTCCTTGCTTGCCTTTTAGAGCCATTTATGCCTTCATTTTCACGTGAGGTAAATAATATTTTCTGTGTCCTGTATGAAATTTGAGGTGGGGTAGAGATAGACCAAAGAAGGGTTGTGGCAAAGTGATTAGACATGGTTTGCAGCTTCAGGAGCTCACCGAGGAGATTACCCTAGATTGCGGCATTTGACTTTCGTGGATTTCAGTTGTAGGGTGACCTAGATAAGGGTGGTTCTCTTTGTGTTGCTCTATCAGGTTTAGTTAGATTTACTTGGAGGTTTGCCTGGTTTACCATTATCTCCTTTGGTTTATCACACCTTATCTGTTAGACTTTGCTACCCTTAGTTTTTAATGTTTTTGTGTTTGAGTCGGGGGTTTTCACAATCTTTCTACCTTTTCTAGACAGGGTTAAGATCTACGTACACCCACCCCAAAGGTCCCACTTGTGGTACTCCCTCCGCCCCCCTAATATCTTCTCGTTTTGACTTTTTGTGGGTTTTAAGGAAAGTTGTAAAAAAGTGAAAGTCTACCAAAATACCCTTAATGAAAATGGGTAGAGTGTATTAATTGAGGTGAGTGAGGTGTATTAAATAAAGTGGGGGTATTTGTGGTATTTTAAATGTTAAAAAGGTAATGAGAAGATCTATGTGGGATAAATAAAAAGGGCTCATGAGAATATCTATGGGGGACGGAGGGAGTATTTTTTAGTGGGTTGGTTGTTTCTGTTCTAAAGATCTTTTGCGGGCTATTTTCCTATAAGATGTTTTGCTGCCTTTTCCCTCTCTGCGTCATAGGTGTTCAAGCAATTAAACTTGCCCGAGAGTCTGCTTTCACTTAGTGCTGAAAATGATGTCATTGAAAGGGCCAAAAGACCCTGGGATATTTTACCCGCTGGTCACAGAATTGGAACCCCTACACCGTTATTCAAAGAGATGGTATGTGGATTTATGCACGTCAGCATTAGTGTCATTATATTTTTTCTTGTACTGGTGCTAGGTAATGACTGGATATTATTGTTTAATGTGTAGAAAGATGAAGATGTTGAATTTTACCGAGAGAAGTTTGCGGGAAGTCAAGCTGAGAGGAGCTTAAAGTCTGAAGCTGAAGCAAAGATGATTACCAAAAGATTGAATAAGGCCAAAATTTCGGGTAATCCTATATTTGCTCTTATTACATTCTTTTAGTGAGTCTCTTAAATTTTACAAGCACAAGTTCAGTGTCCCCTCTCTTTCAATGGCGCAGCTGGGTGAAACCATGAAGGTTATCATGTGATTATATTAATTGTTTTTGAGTTTTTGAAGAGCACACACTATACTGGAACAGAAGAAAAATTAAGACAAAAAGTGGGTTTGAGGGAGTAGTAAGGAATGTCTGCTATTTCCATACTCTATGTATTTAAATTGGGATGGTAGGAATGGTAAGTAATGTTCTAGTATTTGTATACCCTTCATATTAACTTTTGCGAGAGATCATCATTTCTTTCACTTAAAATCTCTCTATCTAATTAACTAGTGCAACATTTTTAGCGTTGATTGGGCTAGATATTATGAAAACTACCTAAATTTATTCTCGTTGATAACAATGAAGACCACACATAGATTCTCCCAGTGCCCAGGAACACTTGAACATTAGACTATGATTCCACACAGATCTATACAAACATTTGGCAATGAATGTCTGGGTGTATCATGTATGTGAAACAGCGGCTTTGCAATCTGTGATTGCATATTGATAATTTCCCACTAACTTGAATCGCGCTCCATGGTTAGGAATGGAATAATACGTGTTCGTTGTTAATTTGGAATCACATCTTAGTGATGCAAATCTGCAATGCTTATGATGTCGTTGTGGTGTAATTCTGTTGACTTAGGATTAGTTATTAGCTAGATATAAATGCTATAATTCACACACTGAAAATTGAAGCTAGATAAATAGATTTTACATTCCATTTCATCACATGGTTTTAGAGCCAACATTTTTCTGCCATAAACATTTTTTAGCCTTAACAGCAGTCTTCAGCACATCAAAACCCACCACTAGGCTTGCTTCCTTTTCGCTGCCCATGAACAGAAACCAAACCGATTGGGGTTTGAGCTCGAGCTCAAACTCTAAATAATTTCAAGTGTCCAAAGACCAAAATTGACCAAAGCACCTTCACTTGTTCCAAATAGCTCTAAAAAGACCAATCATACACACATAGACACACACACATGCATTCATACAGAATTACATACGCGTATATACACATACACATAGATTATGACTAAAAAACGTTGCTTTAGATAAAAAATGAGAATCGATATTAAGTATTTCAGATCCAAGGGTTGTAACGAAGCAAAAATCTATGAAAAATCTTAAAAACTATGATGGCATTGTTGTACATTTACAAAATATTTCTGCAATCAGGAGTAGTGCATCAGAAAGGAGCATAAATGCATAACAACCATAGTCTTAAAAGGCGACCGAGGCGGTCCGCCTCAAAGCGGTGAGGCGGTAAGGCGGTTACATTTTGCCTCTGAGGCTTAAGCCTCAGCAGGGATACCTGAGGCGTACGCCTCACAATGTTGAGGCGGTCCGAGGCGGTAAGGCATAACCGAGACGTAAGCCTCGATTTTAATAAGAATTTCAACAATTATAAGGGTTATTTTTCAAAAGCTATTGGACCTTTTTTACATAAACTTTTTTGGGCATGTGCACTGTATAGTTTCTAAAGAAAAACTTAATAATCCTAGTAGATAGTTTACACTTCTTTCCCAGACTTCAGCGATAACTTCCGTCTCGCCATCTTCAACCGTACTTCTCACCATTTTCAAACTTCACTGGCACATCTTCTCTCTTGCGGAAGCAGCTAAGGCAATTGCTTCATATTTTAATTGCTTATCTTCTATGCAGTATTTCTTTCGTCTTTTACTTTTGACTTTTAATTTTTTCGGTTCTTTTCCAGCATCCCTCTCCCTCTTTTGAATTCAGTTCAAACTTCAAAGAATGACATAACTATTGTTTTGCATGAACTTTTGTTCCTATTTAATATTTATAAGGTTTGAAGATGTATTTGAGACATTTCTGTTTTATTTTACTTTTTTTAATGCTTATAATTCTATTTTTTGTGTTTAATGAATTAAGATATGGTATCGTTTTTTGTAAAATTCAGGAATTATGATTTTATCATATATTTAACATGAAAATGGATTATGCATTTTGTTTTACCTCGGAGTACATATTTTAGCATTGTTTTTTTCATATTGAATTGAGGCTTATGCCTCATTCCGCCTCGAGGCTTACGCTTCAAGGGATTTTGCTCCACTGCGAGGCTAGTTTTCGCCTTTCAAAACCTTGATAACAAGTGGAATTGAAGTGCATCGGGAAAATTTGTTTGTAGGTTTTAAATTTAAAGTTAACCATAGTTGGATATCTGCAGCTTCGTTTTTAAATTTCCTATGTATAACTATGACAAAATTCTAGGCTTAGTTGTGCTGTTTTTTTTATAGATGAAAGACCAAAGAAGGCCATGTCACCTGCCTCTGGTGAAGCAGAAGTATCCATTAGCAGACTTGATATCCGTGTTGGTCTTATCAAGAAAGCCCAAAAGCATCCTAATGCTGATACTTTATATGTCGAAGAGATTGATGTTGGTGAAGCGCAACCAAGGACTGTTGTTAGTGGCCTGGTCAATTGCATTCCACTTGAAGAGATGCAGGTTTTCTTCATTTTCTAATGTTTTTACTCTTTTGACCAAATTTTTTACATAGTTTCGCTAACAGTGGTATCTTTGCCAGAACCGCAAGGTCTGTGTTCTATGCAACCTGAAGCCTGCAACCATGAGAGGTATTAAATCTCAAGCGATGCTTCTTACTGCCTCAGGCCATGATGACACAAAGGTACACGGCGATCTCTACTTTCACCGTTAAAATACACTGAACACTGCACAATTACATGGTGTACTACTTCCTCCGTCCCAAACTTGGTTGCATGTTTAGTATTCATAGGGTCAAACTTTATCCACTTTCTTTTCCTATATTCTTGACTCATTTGATAAATTAATATAGTCATGTTACCTCTTGTTTCGTAGAGTTCTTTAATGTAGTTTTTTAGTATGCCGAGCTTAGTTTTTAATCCCGCTCCAATTCTCTAATAAATTACACTGAAAATAACTTCAGCTAAACAGCGTAAATCAAAACAAACGATTTAAATTGGGATGTTCATTTCATGTCTCTATTCTTGAAGCCACGGCGTTTGTTTGTTTTATTCTTGGTTGTGGTTGGTGGTAGGTTGAGTTGGTTGAACCACCTGAAGGTGCTGCTGTTGGGGAACGTGTTACGTTTCTGGGGTTCCAAGGAAAGCCGGACGACATGTTGAACCCCAAGAAGAAGGTATGGGAAACCCTTCAAGTGGATCTCCACACTAACAGCGACTTTGTAGCCTGCTACAAGGATATCCCATTCGCCACATCTGCTGGGGTCTGCAAGGTTTCTTCCATCTCCAATGGATCTATAAGATGAAGGTTGGCATTACACATATTTGCAATTGTTCTCACACAAAGAGGCAAAACAAGAATCTAAAGACCCACATTTTTGCAATTCTCTCCTGGTTTCATTGTTTGCAAAATAGACTTTTATTGCAAAGCATTTGAGAACATTATGTGTTTGGACAAATGCACATTTTAAATGCCTCATTTTGTTTTGTGATCTAGTCCTGATTGATTCGGATACCATTCAGGTCCGGTTGTGATTGAGATCAAATGGTTTCAAATTTAATTTGGGTGTTCTTTGAATTTGATTAGGTTCTTTTTTATTTGGATAATCTCATATCTTGATTATAATTTTTTTTTGTGGATAATTTCATTATTGGTTTGGATTATTTGGTTCCGGTAATCAATTTTGGATTTACTTTGTCACGTCTTGGCATCCTTCAAAATTGTACCCATGCAACTTGGGTATAGACTAGACCTACGGGGCAGGCCAGGTTAGACATGGAAAAACAGAATCGCAATCGATTATCTGAATCAAATTATTCGAAATCGAAACCAAAATGATTTGAAAAAAGAAGATTCGATCTATGACCGAAGTGATTCAAACCGAATGAAAATTGAACTAAATAATTCATATCCAATTTAAATTTGAAACCGATTAGATCTGAAATCGATCATATCAAAAATGATTAAACTTGAAATAAAAAATACCCGAAACTGATTCGATTCGAAACCGATAATGTCTGAAATCGATTAGAACTAAATCAATAAAATCCGAAATTGACTTTGCCTTTTAACAACCTTTTTATATTTTTGAATCTTTGCTTTAACTTATGATTTGAACTAAATACATTACTTGATCTTCCCTCATAAAATGGATTCTCATCTTTAAAAAATTAGAAAATCTCATGCCTTAAATTTATTATATTTAGAATTTGAACAAAAGTTTAACAAATAAAATATGGGATGAATAAAGTGAGTCAACTATTTTGTTACTAACAAAATCTCTTTCCATTTCATAAAGAATGCTACATAAAGCAAAACTAATTTTAAGTTTTTAAATTTATTTTATTTAAAGATTGATATAGAAATAAAAATAATTATTTTCATATTTAAAAAGTACATCAAAAGTTTTACAAAATAAGAGGGTATAACAATAATCATTTATTTTATCAAATAATCAATGAAAAACGGTCAAATAAATAACATTTTCATAATTTTTAAATTGTGAAGTCTAATATTCTTTTTAGGACGGAAGGATTATATGATGAACTATGTGGAAAAACTTGATTTTATCCTAATTTCATCCAATTACAATAAATTTTATTTGTTTGGGAGTTAATTTAATTATTTTCAAACCAATTGACTCAATATTACTCAATAACATTAGAGAATAGTGTTAGCATTTTGAAAAAGCTCTGTAGCAGTAAAATTTAGTGTTATAATTTCAAATTTAATATACACCATTAAATTTAGGTGTAAAATTAATAATATTTGACTCTATTAAATTTAATTTTATCTAATTTCTCCCAAATATACTCAAATTTTTATAAATTTTTCACTCAACTGTATGAAACTCATTCAATTCTATCAATTTTTAGGAGTACTATTGAATAAAATTCATTTAATTTCGCCTAATTTCACAAATTTTACCAAATTATATTCAATTAGAGCATAACACTAAATGAATTTATCTTTTATCTTTTTATTTATAAATCTTAAGATATTAGTAGATGTAATAAAAAATTGATATATCAAGACTAAATTTTAAAAATAAATTTAATTTTATTTGACCCATATCTTCCCATACCCGTTGTCCAATAACTCTTTCACCCAAACTCAAACCCCAAGTCTTTGGACGTAAAATGTACCGTTCAATAACCTTTTGCCTTTGTATATTAAATGATGATTTATCCTACAACTAATATATTTATTTCAATTACTTTCATTTTGGTTCAGTTTTGTTCTGAGAAAAGTTCCAGTAACCTTTTTGGAGTTAATAGTCCAACTCCATATTTTAATGGTAGCATAATATTAACTTTCATTGTAATAGTGACATTCTTTAAAAATTGTATTTCTTGTGATACTTTTTTTCACTTTTTAAGAATATTTAGATTGCACATAAATTTTAGTGAGTAACTCATTTTTTGCTCATTAAATATATCGTTAGAAAGTTCTTGATGAGTTCTTCCTAATGATACGAATATTACAGAAAACTGCTCTTGGGTACCCCATATTTTGAGAAACTAACTACCGGGTACCTCACATTTTCAAAATATACTCCGAGGTACCTTCTATTTTGAGAAACTAACTATCAGGTACCTCACATTTTTAAAATATACTCCGAGGTACCCTCTATTTTGAGAAACTAACTATCGGGTACCTCACATTTTTAAAATATACTCCAGGATACATCCAAATATACATTTATTTTACGCCATTAATTTTAAGAAATAGAGATTTGGAATTTTAAAAGTAACCAAGATCTTTTTAAAATTGAGTACTCAATTTTCTTCAAATTAAAAAGATCTTGGTTACTTTTAAAATTCCAAACCCCTATTTCTTATAATTAATGGCGTAAAATTAATGTATATTTGGAGGTATCCTGAAGTATATTTTAAAAATGTGAGGTACCCGATAATTAGTTTCTCAAAATAGAGAGTACCTCGGAGTATATTTTAAAAATGTGAGGTACCCGATAGTTAGTTTCTCAAAATAGAAGGTACCTCAGAGTATATTTTGAAAATGTGAGATACCCGTTAGTTAGTTTCTCATAGACCTGGCAAATCGGTCGGTCAGGTCGGGTTCGGGTTCGGTCACCTTGGGTTCGGATTAGTTCGGGTTCGGGTTGATAACTACATGTTCATGACCCAGTGTCATCGGGTTCGGGTTGACCCAACGGGTTATGAGTTTCATTTATTATTTTGAAATTTTAAGTAATTTTTATGACTTAGTGAAAATATTACGAATAAAAAAAATTAAAAATGTAGAAATTTTGAAAAAATGTAAGATAAGTATGCGACATCATAATAATTTGTTATGATGTTATAAATCTATATATGAAAAATGAGTAGAAAGTAAAGAAATATAATCATAATCTTATTTTTATAACACTATATTTCATACTAAAATGTATGATTCTGAAAAAACCTTAGATTAGCGGGTCGGTCAGGTCGGGTTCGGGTTCGGTCGGGTTTGACCCATTTTTAGCGGGTCATTTCGGATTCGGTCAACTTCGGGTTCGGTCAGCAAAACCTTTGTTCAAAACCCAGTATTTTCGGGTCGGGTCTCGGGTCAAAAACAGGTCGGGTCTCGGGTCTTCGAATATTAAATACAAAATATTGAGTTCCTAGATTTTATAATTTTAGTCTAATCAAGAGTAATAACCTAATATATTCAAACATTTATGCTTAATTTACATTATTTACATTTTCCTTGTTAACTTTTAGACCCGATTCTAAGACGTTGCACTTCCAATCACAAAATTCTTATTTTTCCATTATTTTTATCTCTTTTCTTTTTATTTTTTCTTATCATTTTCTATCAATCAAAATACCTATTCTTTTCTCTATATTTTTCTCTCTTCATCCAAACAAACCATTAGTGGATCTATTTCATTTGATTTTTTTGCAATTAAGAGATGAATTTTTATATTTAATTAAACAAATACTACATGATTTGAACTCATCATATATGATAAATTTCATTTAGAATTTTTTGTACTAATACTCAGAGTATAACTTACGCAGAAAATTCTATTTCGGGATCCAATTAGGATGTTGTTGATTGTTGTATTCAAAGTATAATTTACTCCATTTGTTTGAGAAGAATCTTATCATTTGATTTTTTTAGTCAAAGTTTGTAAATTTTTACCTCGTTATGGAGAAAAAATACATTGTATTTTGATATATATATATATATATAATACTTCTTCCGTCCCTGAAAGAATTATCTCTTTACAGTTATGGTCTATGGATAAGTTTTATTTATTTGCATGTATTCATTGATCATTTCATAAAATGAAATATTCTTATTATTTCTTGTTTTGTAGAGTTTTTAAATATAAAATTTTTATTTTTTATTTTTTACCAATTTATAAATAAAATCATTCTAAAAATTACGTGATTTTGCAGATTGATCAAAGAAAGTAATTCGTTGAGGGACAGATGAAATATCAATAGGTTTTTTTGAAACATAGTTTTAAAATATTTAATTTTTGTAAAATACTCCTCCGTCCCATAATTATCTTTCTTCTTTTGTTTTTGGGTTGTGTGAAAATCATGTCATGTCAAATCGAGAAGATAATTCCAGAATGAAAGGGTTAAATCTTTATGTGAATATAGATATTAAGGGCACTAGAAATACCCATGAAGTCCCAGGGCTTCAAACCTTCTCTCTCTGCCGTGTCAGTTTTAACTTAATTCACAGTTTCAGTGGAAATGAGTTTGAAGTCCGGGGCTTCAAACTGGGGCTTCAAACCTTCGTTTTTTACATTTTAAATACACATCTTCTAAAATTAAATTAATAAAATTTAAATATTTAATTATTTAAGAGAATTGAAACGAGAATTATTCATTAAATAATAAAATTACATTCATTAAATAAAAAAATTGCATTCATGAAAAAATAAAAAAATACTTGAATAATAATTTTTTTAAAAGATGATAGATAGAGAGAAATTTGTATTTGTATTGAATTTAAAAAAAAATAATTTAATTTATAGAGAAGAAAAGAGGAAAAAAGAGGGAGAAAAAAGAAGGAAGAAGGCATTATCACGCCTTCAACTCACATCAAAAATTTGACGCATGTTATGTACAAATGTCTTTTGATGTTCTCCATGTCTAAGTTAGACCTTTGATTTTCCCCTTTGTAAGCCTATATATAGAGGCTCCATATGTTGAAATGAGACATTTATATCTTAAGTTTCTCATTACATTCTTTCTCTTTCACTCTCCATTGCACTTTGATCTTCCATTTGTGTTCTTATCAAGGTATATCTCTATCATCTTGTTCTTGATAATATTTCTATTATCTTTATTCTTAACACGTTATCAGCACGATACTCTAAAAATTTACTCTTCATATCTTGTCCTTGTTCATATTCATGTTATATATATATATATACACACACACACACACACACACACACACACATACATATACACTAATTTACTTTAGTTTTCAAGTGTACTTGTAAATATATTGAATCTAAAACTCGTAAATATATTAGAGAATTGGCATGTGAAGCCTACATTATGTGTTAAAGTTGAAGATTATATGATAAAACTCAACCTAAAGTTTGAGTACATATTATGTCGGAAAAATTTCATTTCTTTAGTTTTTTTTCTCTTTTGGCTAGTGAACTTGAAGTTCATATTCTGATTTCATATGCTCGAAGCATTAACAGTGAAACTCAAACCT